TTGTTCAGTGATGAGCAGTAATCCAGCTTGTCGAATGAGATGATGTTGTATGCGTCGGGGTAAGTGAGAGTGAGATGACGGACGAGCCAGCATGCGCTTGAGGTATTTTGTTAGCTTGCGGTCCAACCGCAGTGCCAAGACCGCGACTTACATGAAGCCTGCGCCGCCGGTAATCATGATGTTCTTGACATCGGGAAGAGGCTCAAACTTGGTGGTACCCTTGAGCAAGGGCGCCTCCTTCCAAATACCTCCATCCTGGAAGAACTTGCCGTGACCATTGCTGTAGGCTTGGATTGAGGGTTAGCAACCACGGATGGTGATAAGGGTTGATAAGGACGATTTCCAACGTACTGCTCGGCGCGCGGTTCTGGCCGTTGAGTTGAGTCATTTCGACGGTCGGAACGGTATCTCTGTTGTAAATTGGCGTGTCGTTTGGTTGTGTGCGTGTGAGAGAGGTTGAGGAAAGTCGTGCGGACTGGTCGGTGTCGGGAGCTCGAAGAGAGTTTAAGGTTCGGGTTCGATTGCGAGTCAGGCTTGTGCGAGGTTGAAGTACAAGTAGGGAAAGCCAGCTGGGCTTTCAAGGGAGAGAGTATGTGGCCCTAAAAGTGAGTTTAGCTGGATGCCCACACGCAAGACACGCTCATGTCGGGCAATTAATCTTACCTCAGATATGGGATATCCCTATCACGTCTAAATCGAGGCCATTGGCGATCTGTGCCCTGTTCTGTCTCACTCACACCACCCCGAGTCGCGCGCAACTGAGGCAAGGGAGGCCGAACGTGGTCCGCGGTGGTTGAAGGATGGATGGTTCGTTAGTGAGAGCCAAGCGGAGTGGCTATGGCGAATCAGTCGTATTGACAGCGCGAAAAAGTAGTGGTAGTAGCTAGTAGTGAGAAATATTGGCAGGAGCAAGTGAGTGGGCAGGACCGGCGGTGATAGGTATGAGGGAGAGAGAGAATTCAAGGAGTTCTGTCAGCCCAATTTTTTTGTGGTTAGTCGCTTGTTGTTCCGTCTCACGAGATGATGGATGCAGTAGGCTGAGATGAGCAGTGGCACGGAGGTCTGGAGGGCGAGAACTGGATACCTGCCACCTTTAAAAAGTCTGTGGCAGAGTGACAGCCAGAGTTCAGATAGCTTCGGCAAGGTGCATATGGAACCGTCGTAGGCGTTCAAATGAGATGGTGTGCGTAGGCTGTAAGAGGCATCCCAAGTTGAGGCGGTCGGTGGACAGCAGATCAGCAAGGGCCGAGATGATTGGCGTAAGCTCGACTGGGGAACGAGCATAGACGACCAGGTACAGGGCGGGTATCTGTAGCTCCAGGATAGAATCAAGTACCGGTCCGAGCTGCGGCGAGTACTTGGCAACGTGTCTCTTGACGTCTCTCCGTCTCTAATTAAGAGACTTGAGAGATGGATTCAGGTTATTCGTACGCAGCGGGATCAGAGTAGCTTGGATCATGTATAGAGTACAACGGGACATGTAGGTAGGTCAGCTAACTAGCTGGGTTCTCTCTCTCTCTCTATCTCACTCAGATTTTGGTTAGCAGCTGTGGATGTGGCTTCCTTGCGATTACGACTGCAGCCACGGTCGTCGCTCCGATTGAGTGTGGGTGCTTGGCTGATGTTTTGGGGGCAATCTCATGGATGCCGATCTAGCCCGGTGTGGGAGAAAGTGGATGGTGCGATGGCTACTTGCTGCTGCCGGCCTGCTGCCCTCGAAGCAGGTGCTGCGGTAACTGGTGGGAAAGGAACAGTTTGACCGTACTTAGGTACTAGACAAGTGCAGTATAACAAGTGCGATGAGAATGGGATCGCAAATAATAGTTGTGACATCCGTAATGTGGTACGGAGGAGCGAGACTGAGAGAGGTGGATGGTGGGGGTGGACACCAAGAGGGTCTTGGCTGGGAAGCAACATCTTGAAACATGACGCTTGCCTGTGTTTTCAAAGTATCTGTACTTTGCACCCGTACTCTCAATCTCTTCCATCACTCTCGATTCCTCAGTATTATACGTCAGCCACTGCCTCTGACTATCGCAGCAGCTTACCTAGGTACTACCTATGCGAACAGCGAGGTATATGTGCTTGCTTTTTCCTCGAGCACCTGCGTGATTAGTGCGAACCGGGGACTTTCCAAGGGAACCCTGGCATGGCATCCAGGCACAGGCTGCGTCCACGACAACTTTCTCAGGCTCTCCCGCCGCGGCCCCTCGCGATGTCCCAAAAATAAAATACAGCTCCAGTCTCCCGGCAGTACGCACACGGCGCAGTTTTGTCCGGAGCTTGCAGACACCCGGCCGGCAAAAGCTTGTATTTTGAACGGCGTATCTAGACGTGTCAGAACGGGCGATTTCGAGCATCGATCACCGGGGGATGTGCCTTACATAATACACTCACTATAGGGAGTTGACGGATCATGTGATGATGGGATACGTACGGAAAGGCATCAAGACTCGAGAGCCGATTGGCAGCGAGTTGAACCGGACAAGTAACGGTACGTATTTGCTTTCTGACGTCCAAGGCGACAGGTACTTTCTCGGTACCCATACCCTTACCCTCTGCTTCCCTTCCCAACACCTTTCCTTCCCAAAAACCCAATCCATACCCAGCCGGAGCCGCTCTTTTCATGAGATGCCGTGCAGCAACTTGACAGATGCAACCCCAATTTAAACGAGACTTCCCAATGGAATGGGACCCCTTCTTTCCGCGCAAGCTAATGGAAACTAGGGAGAGCGACTACGTACGTCCAAGACACCGCTTTCCACGGGTATCATGGCGGCACGGCCGACCACGAGGCGTCGAGACTGAATAGTTTGTCAACTAGCCACAGATAGACCAGTGCCCTGAGATTCCCAGCCCGTCCCAGTCTCAGCTGGCTTCTCAGCCGTGGCCGCTGTGGGCGGGGGACCATTCCACAAACGCCTCCAGACCGGCCGCTAGTTCCTTTTCAGCCTATTGTCTGACAATACGCTGTTCTTGCTTCTGTGCCTGGAGGGATGGGGCTCGCAACCAATCTCTTCATCACTTTCTTGGCCTCCTTACCTCCGTGATACTTTGGGCTCTTTTCGTTCATCAGGGAGAAAGCAGGGGTAGCAGGGGCAAATAAACAATAAAAAGAATGTCAGGGGCTAAGAAGCGCTGGAATGTCCAACATGCCCACGTTCAGTAAGGTCTACACAGTAGAACGATTTCGCACCTTTTGCAACCCTGGCTCCAAGTACTTACACTTTGACTCCATCACACCGCCAAGACCTAGATGCAGCTGTCTGCTCATCGAGCTCCGTCCCCGGCCACACCTTCCAGTGAGAGTCGAGGAGCTTCGAGTTAGTTTGCGAGTAAACACGACAGCGAGAAACATGCTCGTGAACCGGCCCGTGACGGACGCCACAGATGCAGTCATCCAATGCTGTAAACATCCGATACGAGCCACTCTAGGGCCGACGTTCACGGATAGACTGACGAATGTGTCTCCGGCTCATGATGCTCCATTGGCTGACGGACGATGGCGACAGCGGAGCGTGCTAAGCCGGCTTCTCCCACTCGCCCGGCTCCTCGAACGTGGAGCCGTGATGGGCAAAGGCAACACCAGCTCCGGCGCCAGCGGGCGCCGTCGATGCTGGGGAGGCCGGGCGCGCGTCCCTGGTGGCTTGCAATGGGCCATGTGGGGTGGCAGACGCGCAAGAATGTGGTGCTCATCTTTCCCATCCTCCCCCTCATGCCACGAATCGACCAAAGCACCATGGTAGACCACATTGCCTCAGGGTCTCTCTGGGGAATGCTGAAACGCTCGAGGATGACTTATCGGAGGGAGGAGACAATAGTAGTCAACACCAGACTGGCATGGAGTGGACGGTAGCCAGATTCCACGCAATCGCTGACATGTTCATCGCGAGGGATGTTGAGCAAGATGAGCCGACGACAGATGGCCCCCAAGTCAAGCGAGCGGCCTACGCCGTACAAGGCCAACTAATTTTGGCGTCCAAGGGAGCCGGCAAGACCATGGAACCCCCGTTCCTCCCGGCTGTGCGGACTCGACTTGCATGCTTGCGTCTTCAGATGAGATTGGCGCAGGGGCAGTGACGATCATGGATCAGGACCATGGACGGCATTTCCAGCGACAGATGCCAGGCACTGCAGTAACTGCACGCTGCTGCCCAGCCAAAACACATGACTTGCTGTCGGCTCGTTTCAAACCCCCCATGTCCTAGACATTTCAGAGTCTCGTCAACGGTTGGCCGCGCCAGAATTTGCGGGAAACGGTGGAGTAATCCGACAGACGAACGGCAGAAGATGCCGTTGCGTTGCGGCACATTGTATGCTGTTCATGCTGAAGGACCGCTGGAATGAGCTGCGACAGCGGCCAAGACATGGTGCATTCCTTCAGACGTCGAGAGATATTGGCGACAAGGAGCGAGGCTGGAAGTAGGCCACTTGGCAGCATTGGCGGAGGTTCGTACTGTGACTCTAATGTCTCAGGGAGTAAACTTTCCAATCTAGGCGTTAATTGTTCTACTAAACTCTATCCGCGAGAATTTTTGACAGCTGGACAATTGGTTCAAGTCGATGGAGCAAGACGACCCAGAAGGAACCGAGCGAACCGGCGCAACCATGGGAACAGCGCCGTGTGTCCCTCAAGAGCAGCCGCCATCCCAGGGGAAGCTCCGTCGAAACCCTCTCTGTGTCAAGGCCATTGCCCACGGTCCACACGGTGACGCGTGTGCGAATTGGATCGGATCACAGAAAGTTCACGCTGGGATGCCGGCGAGAGCGAGAGTGCAGACAATTAGACAAAGTTGGGGCGGCTGTCGGAGAGAGTTGGGCGCATATCGGGCTGTCCGTTACTTCTTGAGCTGCTCGCGGAGGATGGCTTGTCGACCTGCTTGATCAAACGACTTGATGCAGAATATGAGGCTGCGTTCGTTCTTGCTCGAAGCATCGGCACCAGATGCAACGAGCGATCGCCGGGCGAAGAACAGTAAGATCTCGTGTTCTGATTTGCCCTAGGTGTCAAGAACACTGACGACGGGACCCGACTGGAGCGAAGCTAACGTCGAGATCGAGCGCGAGTGTGCTGCATACGGCGGGTTTGGTGCCATGCTGTGGTGTTGCAGATGTGACGGGTACGACGGGTGAAGAGAGACTTGCAGATTGTCGAGTCGGGTCTAATTGGATCTTGAGCGGGGCTGAAGCTTACGAAGTATTAGTGGCTTGGCGCTAACTTACGTGGTGTGGACCACAACATGTACTCGTACGGATACTACACAATGTGCGCTACAAGACTCTGTTTTGGGGAAGAGAAGGAAAGCCACCGTGGCAGATGAGGGCGAGGCAGGCAGGCAGGCAGGCAGGCAGGCAGAGAAAGTTAGAGAGAGACAGACCAGAAAAGAAAGGCGGTCTCCAGAAAACAGCTCCCGTCCAGTTCAAGGAACCCGTGGGCTTGCGTCCGGTTGGATTGGTGGCTTTTGATGCAGCCATCTCGATCTGCAGGTGTTTTTCTATGTCTTGGTGTAAGGACGTTCAAGACCTTGGTGCTTGTATCCGTAGGATACAGGACTCGATGCCCCCCTAAACCCGAGTCCAGGGAAACGGACCATGGTCCAAATGGCTTGCAGCCTTGTACTGGGCGTTCTCCCAGGGAAGGAAGGGCGGCGGCAGCGATGGCGGGGTGGCAGAGCAGGGTTTGGCCTCGTCTTGTTTGTTCAGATGGGATGGCTGGCTACTTTATGGTCCATGCCGCCGGATCGAGAGAGAAGAGAGCAATGCAGCCATAGCTTAACTAGCTGGTTCTCGTCACGATGGTTAAGCGTGTGCCAAGCTTTCGGAATGCAGACATTGTTGCTATGCAGTCTTGTCAGCGGTGCGCAAGTCTGTGTGGGTAAGTTGAGAGAGTGTGCGCCGCGACACAGCAACGGGAGTGCCAGAATCATCATCAATGTGTGTGATGGACGTGGAAGTCGCAAATCGCACGTCGCAAGTCCCGGTACGGGGTCGTGGGGCCCGCACCTTCCCCTGCCCTTTCCTTACGTCTCCCTCCTTCCTTCTCATCCCTCATCCCTCATCCCTGCTTTTGCTCTTGCTCTCTCTGCTTTCAGCCCGGGGTAGGTGCTGGTCACTGCCTAGTAACTATTAGTAGCTACGACTAGGGAAGGAACCTCCTAGGTAGTCTCGTACTTTGCCCGTACTACCACCACCAAGACCCCCGCCAGCCTTTTTTGCCCTGAGTCTGACGCAAAAGAGAAAGAACGAGACCCCAAAACTGGCAGACCAGGCGGGCAAGAACGACGTACTTACTTTGGGACGCCGCCGCCTCGGACCTTCCATACGACTTTCGTTATATTTGCACCCGTCTGTCTACTTTACTCCCTTTCCCTTCAATTCCGCGGTTGCCCTTCGGAATTCTACCAGACGAGACGTCTCCCTTTAAAGCATTCCAACGAACCGACGACTTTGCACTCTCGACACTCCCTTGTGCAACCCGACTTCCCATGGTACACTGAAATAGGACCCCAAAGCCCTTACCTGGCGACGATCTCAATCCATCAGCACCGGCCCTCGCCTGAATTCACGCACCGCCTCGCCGACTGCCCGCCCTTTTTTCCTTTTGCTCCCGCTCATTACCGTGGACTCGAATCTCACTCACTCACTCAGCTTGTCTGCTTTTCTTTTCCTTCCACACCAATTACCTCGTCTCGCCATCTCTCGTCGTTGCCCACCATGACTGACGACTACCGCACCGAGCGAGCGGGCTCTTTCGCCTCGTCTTCCACCGACGCCGCGACTCTCCACGAGCTAACCAAGTTGGACCCGATGGAGGACAGCGTTCAGAACCTCAAGTCGCACGATGATGAAGAGCTGGGCACCGAGGAGGACGAGAAGCTCTTGCCCAAGACCAATGAGAAGGAGGAGCCCCAGAAGTCTGGCATGACTTCTGCCATTATCTGGATGACCGTCAACACCTTGGCGACGATTGGAATCGTGAGTATACCACCGAAACCTGCGATTCCCCAGGGATGCGAAAATATGCTGACAATACCTTACCCAGGTCTTCACCAACAAGGCCATCTTCTCCGACCCTCAATGGAAGCTCTGCCAGCTCACCTTTGCGAGTTTCCACTTCTTGGTCACTTTCGGCACGCTGTTCGTCCTTTCCCGGCCTACCTTCGCTTACTTTACTCCGCGCCGTGCCGCCATCCGGGACTTGCTGCCGCTTTCCGTGGCCATGTGCCTCAACGTCATCCTGCCGAATCTCTCCCTGGCCTTCTCTTCCGTGACTTTTTACCAGATTGCCCGGATCCTGCTGACGCCGACCGTCGCGCTCATGAACTATGTGCTCTATAAGGCGACACTGCCCAGGAATGCGATAATGGCGCTCATCCCGGCTTGCCTCGGAGTCGGCATGGTCTCTTACTACGACTCTCTGCCTACCAAGGACGATAAGGTCAAGACCACCTCTACCCTGGGTGTCGTCTTTGCCTTTTCTGGCATTTTTGCCTCGTCTCTCTACACCGTCTGGATCGCCAGCTACCACCGTAAGCTCCAGATGTCCAGCATGCAGCTGCTTTACAACCAGGCTCCCATCGCCTCCTTCATGCTTCTCTACGTCATTCCCTTTGTTGACACCTTCCCCGACTGGGTCAATGTTCCTGGCAACCGCTGGATCATGATTGGCATGGTAGGTTTCCTCTGTCTTGAGTACCTTGATTCACTGTTGCTAACCGGCAACATATAGTCTGGCGCGTTTGCCTCGCTCATCAACATATCCCAATTCTTCATCATCGCCCAGACCGGTCCTGTGTCCAGCACTGTTGTTGGTCACCTCAAGACCTGCACCATTGTTGCTCTTGGCTGGATGGTGTCAGGCAGAGCCATTGGCGACAAGTCGGTTCTTGGTGTCTTTGTTGCCATTGGCGGCATTGTTGCGTAAGTTGTGAACAGAGCCTCTCTGCATATGAACACTAAACTAACGATTCACGCAGCTACTCTGTCGTCATGCTTCAGCACCAGCGCAACCAGCGCAAGTAGGCCATGGTCACATTGGCTGAGGCTCTACGTTGACTTTATAACATTTCGGAAACGGTTTTTCCTTTCTTTTTTGGCAGCATGGTGATCATGGGAATCAAGATGGCGTTGAGTAGATTGAGCCCGTCGGGATTAGACAGGGTCTATTTGGGATGATACCTCTTTTACATGAACCCAAACCTATCATGGCTCGGCGTATGGGGAACACAGGCACTCGAATTCGTAGCAAGGGAAAAATAAAACACTTCCTTTATTTTCCAACCAAAACCTGACGCATCTTTATGCCTCTTTCTTTTATTGTGATACGCGACATGACATGTTTAAAAACCCAATCTACCCTTTTTTTGAAGCCACGTAAATAACGCCGTACGGGGTACTCCCTGGCCAATAACACAATGCATCACTGTACTTGACACCCCGACATCCGCAGCGACCGAGGTGACCAAAGGCCACACGGGGGAAAAAACCACTCTCTACAACTGGAACCGCTTGCGGTCCTTCTCCATCCTGGCCTTCCACTCCCACGGCTGCGACTCCTCACCCTCGCTGCCCGCCCTGCCGATACCCTTGTCCACCCTCCTCAGCTTAGCCGTGAACCGCGGGCCAACCTCCTGCAGTCCGACGCGGATGCCCTCAACGCCCTTCATCTCGGAGCCCTCGGCAGTCGTGATATTCTTCTCCGTCTCGCGCTTCTCGCGGAAGACGTAGCGGTGGCGGCGGAAGAAGAGGTAGTCGCGCTGGTTGTGCACCGTAAGCACCTGGCGGCCCTCGAGCTCGGGCTGCGGGGGGAAGAGGCGCTGGAAGAGGGCGGCGGTGAGCAGGCCGAGCGGGGTCTTGAAGTTGTTGAGGAGGAGCTCCGGGTAGTGATTCGTCGGGTTGCCGTGGCCGGGGAGCTTCTTGCCCTCCATGAAGTTTGTGATCGTAAAAGTGAAGGTGGGGCCGACGGGGAGGTGGACGATGGACATGCCCGTCAGCTTCTTCTGGTCTTCTTTGAGGAGGACGACGGCGGTGTAGTCGCGGTTGGCGGCGAACTTTGAGATCTCGCGGAGGGAGTACTTGTGGCCGTAGCGGTGGGCGGAGCGGGGCACGTAGGTGGAGTTCGGGAAGATGGTGCGGAAGATGTTGGCCTCGTGGTGGAGGGTCGAGTTGAGGGAGGTGGTGATGAGGATCTTGGGGGGCGGGGGCGCGTCTTCGGAAAAGAGGCTGGGAAACTTGAGGGCGAGGGAGGACGGGGTGAGGTCGAGGTTCGTCGAGGTCGTCGAGGGCGCGGCAGAGGAGTCCCTCTTTGCGCGGCGCTTCTCCTCGCGCCGCGCCTCCCTCTCGGCCTTCTTCTCCGCGGCGGCGGCCTCGTCTTCCTCGTCGTCGAGCATGCTGTCGTTATCGCTGTCGTCGTCCTCGCCATCGTCCTCGCCATCTTCGGCGTCGAGCTCCTGTTCCAGCGCGGCGTTCTCCTCCTCTTCTATCCTCCTCTTCTTGAGCCTCTCGACGTCCACCACCTTACCCAGGCTGTCGTCGTCGACGTCGTCCCAGACGCGCTTGCTGTCGATGGTCTGGGGCTTGTTCTTTGCGAGGCGGGCGGCGCGGAGCTCGGGGTTCTTGTCCTCCTCCTTCTTGCGGCGGAAGCGCATCTCGCGCTGGGCTTTATCCTTGTCCTTCTTTTGCAGGACGTACATCTCCTTGCGCTTGAGCTTGTTGGACGTCTTGTTTGTGAGCGAAGCCCCCATGGACTTGCCCGGCTTGGAGAAGCCCATCTTGAAGATTGGCTTCTGTTTTCTCTTTTTCGTTTCGATTGATAGGAGGTGAGTTTCCTCTATCCGAGTTCGTAGACAATTGCCCGTGGATGAAGCTCGTTCGATCGTTTGGAGGTTCGGTTTGAGGGTATCTGTCGCAAAGAAAATGATGCTGTACAACTTTCGTCGGTCCAGAAAAAAAAAAAAGGCCGTACAATCAGTGAAAATCAGCTTTGGAGAAATTTTGGCGGGGCACCGACCAATCCCTGCAGCAGATGCATTTGAGATGGGTCCCGACGTTCGGTTTGCGGGGGCGCCAGGGATTGTCTTCCTCGATCGCCGTTGGTGGACGAAGTAACGGCGAATTGAATGATCCGTGATTCCACTGCCAGATACGTAGGTACCTATCAAGTGGGGTGGGGGTCCAAAAGGCAAGATTTTGGTCGAGTCCAATCGCCTGGTGCCGGTCTGCGGCTGCGGGACAGAGGAAGGGGGTCCGTCCGGTGCCGTGTGTGTTCCTGGCCTGGCGCGGATCGCAACGACAGGGCCACCTCAACTGACAGACAGGCCTCTTTTGGTGCACCCAATACCAACCTGGAATTGGAGGGTACAACTTTTTTTTCCCACCTCAGGCTGCCCACCAACGAGGGGTGTGAAAACTGGAAAGGGCAGACGAACATTGACATCGACCACGACCACACTCGCTCATACACACTACCTACCCCT